ACAGATTTTACAGAAAATTTCTATCATCTCAGAAAGTTCTGTGAAATAGCGAGGGACTAAGCCATGGGTGCTGGCAGCTCACAAAAGCCCTTTTCTACCACCCCACATCTTTCACTCTCATACCTTCCAAAAGTGACCACCCAGCAGAGGACACAGTAGGTGCACAACAAATAATTTGCTGAATGAATAGGGAAGGTGTGGCTCACACAGGAAAACGGAAGTGACTGCAGAAGTGGAAGTAGGCCTGATTTATTCAAGGAGTCACTACGTGACTGAGAGTTTGAGCAGACCGAAACGTCCTTCCTCCGTCACCCATCCCCGCCCATAAAAACACAGAAATAAATGGTGATATAGTTTATTGGAGCAATAAAATCCATACCTACTCATTACTCCTTCAAATGAGTCATGTCTGACTGTGTGTACTCACAGTAAAGCATTTCAACTCGACCCACAGGGGCAAGAGTGCCTTTTTAAAGGTGAAGATCCTGAACTTGAGAACTGGAGTTTCTGGAGGTCCTGTAACCCAGCTCCATTAGGTGCAGCAGAAGTGGAGCTCAGACCAGGACAGTCCGTGGTCACTCAGTCAAGTAGAGGCAGAGTTGCTCACCTGCCCACCTGCCACCTAGAATTCAAGCCAGAATGAGCGCAGATGCCAAGGAACAAGGTCAGGAGACTAGAGAGCCAAGGTTGAGGTCAAGTTGATGAATAAACCAGGAGTCAAATGAAACAGTAGGTTAGAAACAAACCCAGAGCACTCGGGCTGACCAGATACACAGTTAAACGGAGGCAGCAATTAGGAAAAATGGGAGTCTGGCAGCATTGGATATTGATGTGAGTGGTGGAAATAGGACTTTTTCCACTGCTGGTGGAGCTGCAAATTAGTGTTATACAATTAAAAAGGCACACGCCTTTAAGAGCAAGCCTACCACTCTCCAGGAACACTCGCACATGTGCACACACAGACGCGAGCACGGCTGTTCATGGCAGCTTTGCCGATCACCATCAACAGTGAGGAACAATTCAAACGGCTGACCATGGGGCTGATACATAAAATCCAACATACGGAAAAACGAAAAGTACAAAGCAATTAAAAAAGGAGCAGAGACGATCCATCCAGGGCCACCACAGCATATATTAAATCTTTGTATGAATTAGGGAAAAATGAGCTCCCCTGGGTAAGCCAACTGGAGGAAGGCAGCCCTCCTTCTGGGCTGAGATGGACTGAATGTCCTTCCCTTCCAGCTGTGCAACCCGAGCATGGACTGTGAGTGCAGTCAGCCGCCCAAGCTGCAGGACAGATCTGAATGGAAAAGCAAGCTGCGGAGTAGTAAGTAAAACAGAATGGCTTTACTACATTAAAACACAGATCCTTTATTTTTTCCAGAGGGATCTAAATGCATAACATGAATGAGTAGAAAAGGGACTGGGGCAGGGGAGCGGTTCTCATCTCCCTACCACAGCTGTTACCTCTTTGTTTGGGGGGGGGGCAGTGGCTGTGGCTCAAAATGGCCTTTAGTCTTACCCAAAATATCTTGATTTTTTTTTAAAGATTTATTTATTTTTATACAAGAGCTGGGGTATAGGCCAGAGGCACGGAAGGGTGAGAGGATTCACCAGAGACAGAGCGGGGAGCAGAACAGGACCGAGATACACTGCTGAGGGGAGCAGCAGGTGAGACAGGAGAGGTCTGTTGCGCCATGTGGGATTCTCACAGGTCAGCCAGGATTGAACCCGCGCTGCAGAGGCTGTGGACAGCTTCGCTGTACTAAGCTGTGTTCGACCTGCTGAGCCACTAGGGAGGCCCCAAAATATCTTGATTTTGAAAAACCTCCATACTGATTTCCACTGGGGCTGCACCCAGGCTACATTCCCACCAACGGTGAGCAAGGATCTTTTTTCTCCACATGCTCTCCAAAGCTGTTTCTAGTCTTTTTGATATGGGCCATTCTCACAGGTATGGGATGGTATCTCAGGTGATTTCACTCTTAGGTGGAATATAAAGAAACAAAGACAAAAATAAATCAAGTGAAGTCCTAAAATTCTGACTGTATAATTGAGACTACAGTGGAGGCAGTGGGAATCAGGGAGCAAAATTCAGGGGAGGCCCAGAGGACTATGGTCGAGGACTATGGGTACTTTGGTGGTGGCATGGACCAGTAGCATACATCTAAAGAGCTGTGCACCCACAGCCCTATGTCACATACAGTGTTGTAACCCAATGTTACTTTAATATGGAATGATATAATTTTTTAAATCTTGATTTAATTTTTCAAAGGAGAATGTTTCTGTATAATGCATTTCTTTATAATTTATGAAATTACAATTACTGTTTAAAAATTTGAAAAGATGGTAAGGTGGATCTTTGCGGCAGCAGGAAAATTTAAGTCTTCCTCGGTGGCACCTACCATCACCACCAATGCCACCATCTTGTTCCATGGTGCAAAAAACTACACAAGTCCATTTAACCTTAATTTCTAGAGAATAAAATAGCAAAGTGCTCAGAGTAGGCGAAAGAATATGTTCTCCATCAGAGAAAAGTAAACTTGGTGAGACTCTCTCTCCCAGGCATGCCTGCAGGCCACCTTGGTGACTTCGGTCCCTGCAATCCCAGCTTTGTCCCAAGGCTGGAAAATACCTGGAAAAAACAGAGGGTGGGGAAGTGTGAAGCCTTCCTTTTGCCCATCCTTTCTCAGAGACAGCATGTCCCCAATGCCAGGGCACCTCTAGGCCTTGATGGAAAGTGATGAGAAAGTCCACACACCAACTTGAGCAAGATCAAAGGCACCATCAATGACTTTTGGGGCTTTATCACAGTGAAAAGGTGAGGGAAGTTGACTGGTCTTGAAATTGTTTTTTAATGGTTTGATTTCACGGTCTTCTTGTTACTTAAGTACCATTCATCTTTTTCCAAATCTCTAGTGGGAGCTTCATATGGCTTGGCAGCTCAATTTCCTCCCAGCCTACTGGATGAGACAAAAGGTCCACTGGTCACTTATCAAGTGAAAGCACACTGGGAGCCATTAGAACCTGTTCCACCAGTCCTCAGCATCGCTCTCTCTGCAAGATTTACAGCCCCCATGGAAACAGATTTCTATCTCAACACGCTTGCTACTCTTGTCATCTCCATTCAGAAGCAACCCTGGTATTGATTGTCTGTACTGGGTACTGTTTAATTATCTCTCAAAACAACTGGCCATTCAGCCAAGGAGACTTCACTGAAATGACAATGATGTTTGACTTGAATGTGTGACTCTAAAGAACAAACAGTCCCACACCTATGTCCCCCATTTCCTGTGCTTTCTCCCTTTCCTTTGCCTAGATGACCCACTATCACACCATCCTCCAGAGAGGAAATGCTCCAGGACCATGATGTGCTGCCCAGGGGCTTTTTCTGTGTGGGCACTCGCTTCCAAGAGGCAGCTCCAGTGGCATTTCCCAAGGTCTACGCCACACCAGAGGGTTGGCTCCTATAGCAGGGGTATCATTTCTCTTTGAATGATTGAGATAGAAGGAAAAATCTGGAGTGAAAGGGCAACAAACAGAATGATGAAAGGCTAGGTCAACATCTAAATGTTGGTCTGTGGAAGGAGGAAATGCTGCCTCCAAGCTGGAGGCAGCTTGGATTACAGAGCTTGTCTGTAATCTTGGCATGATTAACTGTGACATCTTACAGTCAAGCTTTAAGCTCTTGCTACAATTTCCCCATCATACTTGCTGAGCATGTACTCTGTAACAAGCACTGTTCTTGGTGCTTTGGAATCAGAAGTAAACAATACCAATAAAAAGACAAGATCCCACTTTCTTAACAGGTGTGTGTGTGTGTGTGTGTGTGTGTGTGTGTGTGTGTAGAAGTGATAGGTAAAAAAATAAGTGAATAATATCATCGTGGTGAAAATAAAATGCAGAAAAATAGAGCCAAATATGGAATAGAAACTCAATGTGTAGATGGGCATGATCTGGGATGGTCTGGAGAAGGCCTCTCTGATAAAGTAGCAATTGAATATGGAGGCTGAATAAAGTAAGGGGGTGATTCATAGGGTATTTGGGAGGAAACTAATCTGGGCAAAGAGAATCATGTGCAAAGGTCCTGCAGTAAAAGCAGGCTGGGTATGATCAGAGAAGAACAGGGAACATATAGCATATGCCCAGCTCATGGTTTATTGGTATGTGACTGTAAGGTCCACCCGCAAATCCCTTCTTATTTGGCTGAGCCACCTCTTATCCTATGTACACCTCTATCAGTGCACTCACCACATTATACTGTAATTATCTGCAAAGTCATCAAAGGTAGGAACTGTGTCTTTTGATCATTTTTGAGTGCCTGGTGCCAAATTCAGTGCCCACTCTGCCATAGGTGCTCAATATATTCCTTAAACTGAAGTCTTCATTATTCTCCATCTAGAATATGGGAAAATAGACATCAAGCCACAGACAGGGTCCATCTGAAGTGCACACTTGCTACCTCCGGTTGCAAATTAAGATGAACATTGGGATTGGCTTCAGAATTCTTTTTTTTTTTTTTTAAGATTGATTTATTTATTTATTTATACAAGCACTGGGTACAGTCAGAAGCGCAGGAGGGTGAGAGAATTCACCGAGCCAGAGCGGGGAGCAGAGCAGGCAGAAGGACCAAAATACACTGCTGAGGGGAGCAGCAGGCAGCAGGAGAGGTCTGCGCGCCATGTGGGACCCTCCTCCAATGGCCAGGGAGCAGCCGGGGATCAAACCAGCGCTGCAGAGGCTGGGGGCAACTTAGCAACCCAGGGTTCAACCTCTGCACCACCGGGGAGGCCCTGCTTCAGAATTCTTGATGAGAGTAGCTACTCTGGGTGAAACTAGGACCTTATGGGGGAGTTGCAGCTCTGAAACATGTAGCTTTTTTCCCCTCTAGAACATTGAATAGTTGTATATACTTTACAGACTCACTAGTGTGAACTTAGGATGCTACAGTTAGGATGTATTCAATCTTCATGGGTGAAGATTTCAGTCTTCTAAAAACCACCAGTCCTCAGCTAGTTTTCAATGATATGTTTATTTCTGTGGTTGTTGGCTTACTGCCTGCCTTTTGCACTCATCACAGGTCACAGGAGAGCAGGGAATATTAAGCTCTTGGTCACTATGGTGTCCTCAGCACTGAATCCAGGACCGGAATGGAGAAGATAAGATGCCCAATAGCCACTTGCTCAGTGAGTAAATGAAGTAAGCTAGCAAGTATGAAAAATCTAGTGATGAAAGAAAAATGGGGAAATTGATAATTGCAACAAGACTTGACATCTGGTCAGTACATGGCCTGGCACAGTGTTTATTCTCTAAATGGCAGTTATTATTTAAGGTAACTATAAGTCACCTAACGCTCCCCATCTGATGCCATTGTGATTTTCCCCACTTCGGGATGACAAAAAAAGTGACTTGCCTTTAGTCACACAAACTGGTCCCACTAAAGGTCCCAGTTGCCTCCCACTAAAAGGCACACAGTGAGGGGAAGCCTGCTTTCTCCTCTCCTTACTCCTCATAACATCTCACTTCCTGTGAACTTTGAAAATGTCCACACCAGCTTCTCCATTTTTGGTCTGTATCACACACATGGTTATTTGCTCAATAATTTCTTTAAAAACAACCCAGTGTATTACTTTGGTGAATTCAATAGAAAGAACAATATTGGTTCTTTAAAATACCAGAGAACTGCAGTAAACACAATGAAAACAAAAATGTTTTTGTGTTAATCCAGATACTAATGTCTGCAAAAGCTTTTCAGCCTGAGATCTACTGTCTCTGTTTAGAGGACAAGAAATGCTAAAAAAAACTTCTTCACACAATAGAAAAATGATCCCAGATGGAGAGCAAGAAGTGCAGGAAGAAATACAGTGCACCTCAAAAGGTAAATATTACAAAGCATTAGTAACATGTAGATGTAGAAGTAAAGTATCTGAAAGCAAAAGAAAAAGGGCAGGGGCAGGAAAAATGGATTTAAATTGTAGCAACGGTCTTGTATTATTCAGAATATAGTTAAAGTACTAGTTTATAGATTGTAATAAGTTAAAAATGCATTTTGGAATTTCTACAGTAATCACTGAAAGAATATTACATAGTATAACAGAAAAGCTAGTGCAGAAGATAAAGTAGAAGGGGAAAAGGAAATTAGAAAAGTTATCATGGTACAATAGAGGCCAGAACCAATTGGAGACTTCAGTCGGTATGAAAGAACCTTGGAAAGAAAATAAACTTCATGCTTTTGATTCCATGTTTCTAATGCTTCATGCATGACCCACCTGACATTTCGTATCATCCCTGAAGAAGAGGGTACCAGGCTTTGAAATCTGGTCCGTCCGATGGATATGGCAAGGAGGTTGGCCCACTATTATGGGACTCAGGTGCCTGTGCCCTCCTCCCTCCTTTCATGCAACAAATGTCAGAGCAGAATCGGGCTGTACATACTGTAAAGTGACAAGCCAGACACCACCTGTAACCAGAGCGGCTTCCTTCTAACCAGTCGTTCTCAAATAAGGGTGATTTTGCCTGACAAGGGGTATTTGTCTATATTTGGAATCTGGAGACATTTTGGGTTGTCACAGTTTGGGGGAGAAATGCCACCAGGTCTAGATGCCAGGGATGCTACTGAGCATCTGATAATACAAAGGACAGCCCTGAACTTTATCCAATGTCAGTAGTGCCAAGGTTGAGAAGCTCTGCTTTCATTCACAAGTAATCACAACACCAAACTGGAGGCTTTAGTTGAAACCAAGAGGAGGGAACTTGGCAACATGGATGCCCTCACCCTGAAATCATGCTGAAAGAAAAAAATCTCTGCCCCAGCTCCCTGGGCAAGAATCAGCCGCATCATCCACGCGCAGACTCTTCTCAGAGAATTGGTAACTGATTCTAGAACCCAGAGAAAGTTCTAGTTTCACAATGCTGAAATCCTGCAAATGAGATAAAGCCCTTGCCTAACACTAAACCCCAGCAAGGCTGCATTGCGGACACAGAGTTATACGAGTCAAGAGCTGCCGTTTCGACTTGGCACATCCACAGCACCTGTGATGAGTAAATGAGTGACCCCACCCCTTACTACAGAGCAGACTGGCATCAGTCTTGTGCAGGTTCAGGGACACTGAGTTGCTTTGGCCTTCTTTGCTTTGCTTGGTGTGCAGGGCACTTGGCAGTGTGGATCCCACCTCCCAGCACTCACCTGTGAACTGGCACCAGGTAGGGCTTCTAATACACCTCCTCATCTGCCACAGTGGCTCCTGTAGCCACTGTGCTTCCTCCACAGGAATGCAAGCCCCAGGGAATGCTGCCCTCTGTCTCCTGCTGAGAGCTGGGCTCTGCAGAGCCTTGGAGGCAAGAAAGCAGAGCTCCCCAGAGGCTTAGTGCTCCCCAGCAGGCATCCCCAGGGACATAGGGCAGGTGGAGAATTGTCTCTGGGTTTGGGTTTCCCTCCCACTTGATGGTTGCTTGAACAGGGGCTGGAGAGGGAGCCGGGCAGCCGTGTGCAGGTCCGGGCAAACAAAGGGGAGAGTTGACTCTCCATGGAGTTATTGATCTCCCTGAATGGATCTCCAGAAGCAACAACTGGGGAAGGTGCTACCTGGACCAGTGGAGGACCCTCAAGGTGGGCAATACACAGTCATGCTGAGGCCATACCGATTTGTCACCCTGCTGGGGACTGAGTTGATGTCAAAGTCATTGCCGTGGTCCTAGGAGGTTTCCTCTCCCTGGAGTTCATCTGCAGCTGAAGCCAATAACCATCATGCAGATCATGATCTGGGCCTACATCTCCAGGGGGGAGCCACCACTGGGGACTTTCAAAGAACCCCAAGCTCAGCCTGGTCAAAAATCTCATCTTCCCCCAAAACTACTCTTCATCCTGCCTCATGCAATACTGTGTCCAAACCAGAAATTTGATAGCCACTCGCCATCTGCCCCACTTCTACAACCAACATTCTCCAAGCACTGACTCTCACTCATATCTTCATGGCCCCCTCTCCAGTGTCCTTGATTTAGGGAAGCAAGACATCTGAATGAATGGGGAGCCCCTATTATCACCTCCTGCTTGACGATATGGCTCTCTATGGACAGCTGTAGGTGTACAATATTTTCCTTTGTGATTTTTCAAAAATGTAATTTGGATCCTTCCATTCTCCTGCTAAAATCCTTGAAAGAAAACTTCCAGAAAACTTCCAGTTCTTTGGTGTTGAACAGAAGGCCCTATTGGACTGTGGCCCCTCCTTTTCTCATGAGCTCATGTCTGGCTAGTGAAACCCTAGGGACAGCGATAATTAGACAAACCAATCTCAGAGAGGGCAAGACCTTCTGGCCCTATGGCTTTGGTTATTTTTAAGATCTTGCAGCCAAAGGCCGTCATCCATCTGTGCCAGGGAGGCCAGTCAGATTTGAAGGTTCTAAAAGGCAACAGCATTTGCTCCTGTCCATGCCTCTGCACCCCTCAGGCGAGCATCTTTCAGGATGCCAGGCTCTGGCAGGCTCTGTCTCTTTCCTCCAACCACATTCGAATGACAGGGTAATGACTGCTGGTCACTCACTTTTCCTGTGTGTTCGGGTACCAGACTAAACACTTCATGTGCCCTGTCTCATTTAACCTTCATAGCATCCCTATGAGCCAGTATCCCCATTTTACAGATGACCAACTTGAGAACCACTGGTCACATAGCTTGCCCAAGATCACACAGACAGAAAGTGACAGTCTTGGAATTAATCATTATAACCATGTCCTAGACTTCGAAGTTCAGGAAGTCGAAGCTGCTTCAAAGTTTAGAAAGGCAAGGGCACTCTATGCTCATTGTTTATTCGATGTGCCTGCATTCAGCACGTGTTAGCAGCACCTGACAGGCATCTCGTCTGAAAAGATATTCTTGCCCCATTATAGTATTTATACTTCCTGTTTGAAGGAAAGGATTCACCTTTGTGGTGAGTGGCAGCTTAGTCTGCCAGGCCTGGAAGAACTTGGGTTGGCCAATCTGGGGAGAAAAGGAGAGAGCTCTGCTTGATTATGCTGATCTCAGGAACTGCAGGCAGGAAACTGAGTTCAGAAATTGAGTTCAGAAATTCTGTGTGCCCAGAAATGAGTTTGATTGTAAATGTAAACCCATTGCAAGGGCTTTTCTAGGATGGGAGGAAGTGTACTGTGGCATCTCAGAGGTGGCAGCTGTGTTTTGGGGACTCTGTGTCTCCCCTCCAATGTGGAGAAAATCTCATCCCTGCATTAGGATAACAGGAGGGGAGCCATAGCCCAAAAGATGCTGGATAGGGAGGGTCTTGGAGAGTTTCCTAAGAGTTGCATTCGCCATGGAGACCACACATGAGAGGCACAGATGAGGTTTCCCTGATGAGACTGATTCCTTAAAAAGTAAATCTCTCCAGCTGCCTTTCTCATCCTCACGGCTGTTCTTCGTCTATTATGTGTTGGTTTGAAGGTCAGTGAAAATATACAGCATAGGTTATTCAGGAACTACCTCTGAGGATGCGGCTGCTTCCTTCAAAGTGGTAACACGGATTCTAACACATGTTATTCTCCCTGCCCTGCGCAGCGCAGAGGAGCCGTGCCTGAGAATTGAAGCGCACAGCGGTGAACCTGACGGGAGGGCAGCAGCTCCGGGTGGATGTGTGTTCCTGGCATTCAGGAGAATGGCTCTCCCTCAAGATTTATGATTTCATTTTATGTTTTAATGCTTTCTGTCAAAATTCCAAGAGGTGATAGTGACTGATGAGCTGCAGGGGAAAGGGAAGAATACTCCAGGTAGTGGAAATAGCACAGACAAAGGTTTAAAGAGAATAAGCTTTCATTTAGCAAATGTCTCCTGACCACAACCGCACAGCTCTGGCTAATTCCCAGATCAACAGAGTTGGGAGCCACCTCACCTGTAAGGATGCTCTGAGGGTTCCCGCAACGCCTGACTAATCTCAGAAAATGAAGGCCTGTTGTCAATTCTTCCAACCAGCAGGCAGAAAGTGGCACCTTAGAGGAGCCCCAGCTCATGCCAATCCCTTCACAACCAGCAGTAAAGCTCCAGAAAAACTAAGCCTATGAGCTGACCCAGGGCAGAGATACAGAGACAAAGAATGGCTGTCTGGCCTTTCCCAGTTCTAAATTCTATGTGTCCCCAAACCCTGGGTATGGTCACACACCCAATAAACTTGATCCTGGCCCTGCTGACGTAAGTCCAATTTCATCTCTTTGAGATCATGACGTTCTCCCCACAGGACACCTAGCTCTCTTGAAGTCCTGCCTTGAGGAGCTTGGTGTCCACAGCAGGCCTGCCACCCATTTCCAGCTTCTAGACTTCAGCCTTTGCTCTGAAATCAATGAATTCAACACAAGGATATGAAATGGGTAACACACTTGTTTCAAATGCTGACTTCATACCCCTTCCAAAGACACCTTTTGTTCTTCTGTTTAATTTTTACATCAGAGTAGCAATAACAAACTGTAGGGAGGATTCATCAAAGAAAACTGATAATTATTAACTCTGTACATTTGTTCATCATTTTGTGAACACCTGATTCTGAAAAATATTCCTATGAATGGGATGGAAGCTGGCATAAAAATTATTAGCAGAGAGATCTTTTTGCATAGCAATAGGTTTATTGCTTGCCAGCTGCAGGAAGTATTTGGGACTTGCTTTGTGGTAACCAATATCTAGCAATTGCCTTTTCACCTGCTTCCAGGTTAACAAACAACTTATAACCTAGAGGCTGGGTTTAATTTTGCCTTGCAGAATTATAGCCATCTTGTCCTGCTTGGGATTCCAGGTGGGTAGAAAATAGCATATTACGAGTGAGGTGAGGTCAAGAATTGGGCCTGGAGCAGCCCCAAACTGGTAACAAGGATGGGTAGTTGTCCATAGTATAGTCACAGTGTTGTGTAACCATGGCAATAAGCAATTTCATAAAAGATTTCATCACTCCAAAAAGAAACCCCATATCTATGAGCAGTATTCCTCTTTCCTGCCCCCCCACCCCCGACACACTTCCTAGTCCTAAACAAAATGTAATAGACAGGGCTGGTGGTGGCCCCTCTTTGTCTTAATTTCAGGAACCATCCAAGAAGCCCCATGAGAAAGAACTACTCTGGAAAGTCCCCCATTATCTACATGTACTTGGGAGAGTCATGACTTCAGAGTTCTTTTTTGATTGTCTGGCTCAGTAGCTAGCAAATCAGCAGAAAGAAAGAAAGGGCAAGATTGCATCCACTCAACAGCCAAGCTCACGACTCTGGCCTAGTGTTACAGTCCAAGGCTATCCTGAGAGCAGAAGCTGTCTGGCCATGTGGCAGAGTCATGTCGTTTCTTTTCTGAGCACCAAGGGGATATAGGTCACTCCCTGCAGAGATCCCTAGTCTCCAAGTCAATCTTGGGGAAAATAGGGCATTCCTTACACAGAAAGTTGACATTGTTGTTTGAACCTATGTATCCACTTTTCTTTAAAAAAAGTCACCTTGCCTTTCAGAAGAAAAAAGCCAGGGAAGGCCCAACTAAATATGTTAGAAAATCCTGTAGAAATAAATCGACAACTCTCCTAAGAGATTTATGTCTGAGCAAACATATTTTTCCTCCCAACGGAGGCAGAGGGTCTAGAAAAAGTGACCTATGAGACCCAAGGCTTTTTAAGTCAATTAAATATATGCCTGCATCAAACATTGCAGTATAAAAGTTGTGCCTGGAGTGTGCTGTTTCCAAGTTAGGTACAGTCAGTAAACACTCATTTGAGGCCTTTTTTCACCCAAACGTAAGAATAGGCAGCGAGAAGGATACATTTTCTGAACATCACATCGGCCCCATTAGAAGGATTCTGTGATCACATTATTATGTGCTTTGTCTTCAAACAGAGCCT